CCCACAAGAGTGTTCTACAAGAGTGTCTCACAAGAGTGTCCCACAAGAGTGTCCTACAAGAGTGTCCCACAAGAGTGTCCTACAAGAGTGTCCCACAAGAGTGTCTCACAAGAGTGTCCTATAAGAGTGTCCCACAAGAGTGTCCTACAAGAGTGTCCCACAAGAGTTTCCTGCAAGAGTGACCCACAAGAGTGTCGTACAAGAGTGTCCTACAAGAGTGTCCCAGAAGAGTGTCCCACAAGAGTGTCCTACAAGAGTGTCGTTTGGACATATTAGTTTCTCGAACGTGCTTGCATTCGGGTTCGTGGGTTCCATCTTGTTTCATTTTACTCCATCTCGTTACATTGATGCAGAGTGCAAGACGAATCTCAATGAACCACTGCCAGAAACGTTTTCCGAGAAGGACATGAGAAGACGATGAATCAAAGTACCAGAAAACGGGCAGCTCTCGGCCCTAAAGCCATTCCCGGCAGAAGGCCGAATGCGCACTGCACGCGGTCAAATCCCTTTTTGCACACCTGTGAAACAGCGTCTTTTGCATCCTGAGACGTGAAACTGCGAGACGAAACGGCCACCGGTGGCCGTCTCGTCCAAGACGTCCCGTTCCGCTCTTTCGGGCTTGAGCAAATCAAGCCCCCATGACTTGCGGACTTCACCACAGCTCTGGAAGTTGATTCAGAACCAACCAAGTAGCAAGCAGGCAAAGGAAAGATTCCGTTTTGGGAGATCAACTTCCGGAGGTCGGAAACCTGTGGGGCTTTCAAAAAGATCCTACGAAAATATAAATGACATGAATTTCTCCTGAAATGACATGAATTTCTGCTGGCACGACCCCAGCGGCGCCAGATTCAGCGGCGGCGCCATGAGGCGCGCTGCAACCACAGAGCCATGAGGATTTCTAACACGACGATGGACAAAGCCCATGCCGAGACCTCAGGATTTGCTACAATGTTGTGAGTGACCACGTAGACACAAGCCGTAATGATCGTAGCACCCAGAGACAATGAGGCATTGATAAGAAATTCCACAATCCAGCTTCGCCTCTCAGAAAAGCAAAAGCAGACCTTGTAGAGCAGAGGAATGAAAGTAAAGAGAAAGGCTGTGAAGCCGACAGCAGCAAAGATGCGACGGGGGCTTCCATCAAAATAGCCTCCAGCAAAGTAGTCGCCATCATTGTACAAGTTGATCAACAAGATTGGAAACGCCAGCGTGGTCGGGAAATGATCCTCTGGGCCCAAGACATGTCGAATCTGTTCACGAAGTCCTTCTCGAATATGTTGATTGCAAAGCTGCAAATCTGCGAACCATCGAAGCATTGATGTCTCCACCCATTGACGATCGCTGGGGTCTGAGCATTTCGCGTCCTCCACGGAAAAGCTTTGTATTTGCTGATTCATCGCCTTCCGATCGAGTGCATATCTTCTGAAGGCCATGCACAGCAAGTAGCCCCCCAATGATCAATGCCAAAGCCAAGATCAAAATATCTGGGATCGGGCGCCCAGCGATCCGATTGAACTGGTTGGTCGCGTAGACCATGAAACCCATGGACCAGGTGTACAAACTCATCTTCGCCAATTGTAAAGGAAAGATCTTTAAGGGCAAGGACGATGGCGACTTGGATTTCACCAATGCAGCCAACTCCAAGGTACCTGTAGGGCAAAACGACCAGTGACGAACAATACTAGCAATGTCTTCTTCCTTGTTCCTAGTAGCGGTGCCAGGAGCCCCTAGTAGCGTCCTTGCTCCTAGTAGTAAGGCCAGGAGCCCCTAGTAGCTTCTTGTTACTAATAGCGATGGCCTCCAACCCCAATAGCGATCTCTTCCTTAAGGCCTTTTGCGAGGAAAGTGAAAAAGAGTCACAGTAAAAGGGATCGGAAGGTCGAGCGCTCGTCCAGCGCTCGTGTTCGGCCAAGCGGCACCAAAGCCTGGTGAAGTACTGTGGGCTCCAGAGTAAAAGCATGTGATCCGATTGAGCGACGAAGGCCGCAAAGGATCTCACACCCTGCTGCTTCAGCAGACTATCACCCTGGTGGACACAGAATTTGTCCAGGAAATAGACTTTGGTACTCCAAAGGTCTTGGAGGTAGTGCCAGCTGAAGAGGATCATGAAGAAGGAGGACATTCCAACGCAAAGCCCCCATGGAAAGTGGGGAATCTCGTTGCTCACTCCTGCTTCAACGACTGGCAAGAACTTCAAGCGGGTGAGACTGACCGCGAGCATCGCCAGGAATAAAGAGCTAAGAACTGCTGGTCGCAAATTGCAATGGATATGTAGTGCCACCACCTTTGCAAAGCGCTCATCCTGCCAGCAATGACTAATGAAGTGATCAATCTTCTGAACTTGAGCAGATCTTCCGAAGAGCCGTTCAGCTTCTTCTTGAGTGAAAGTGTCTTTCAAACTGTTGGCACGTAGTTCGGATCCAAAACGTCTAAGGACTTGGACCAATCGGGTGCCACGTAGAAGGCTGAAGTCCTGCAAATCTAGGCTCAGGTGTCCTAGAGACAGCTGTAACGATGCCCGAACAGAGGAGATCTGCGAAACAAGGTTGGACTGGGTCTTCTGTATCTCGAGGTCTTCGACCTGTTTTTCACATTGCTCATTGCTGCTGATATCGTCGATGTCCTCCTCGATGCTGTCACGTATTGCAGCCTGCACTTGAACTGTTTCGACGTGCCAATCGCATTTTGCGCATTCGCAGCATCGAACCATGGAAACAGAGTTCGAGGCTTTGACAGGATGAGAACTTTTGCTGCCTTTGATGCCAACCTAAGAGCGATGGCCTCCAACCTAGTTACATCCAACTTTTGCTGCCTTTGATACTGCTCATTTGGGGGGTTAGACTTGTGCACTTTAAAAGTGCAAGGTTGTCCAAATAGTTTCTGCCCTTAGCCACTCATCTAGCTTCGCCACCTGAGCTGTTAGCTCCCTTCTCTTATCTTGTCTTGAGATTCAATCTATGACGGGTGACACATTTCAGCCAAGCATTTGAGCCAAAACCAGAGGGAATCGGCATCACTGGTGTCTGCTGTGAGCGGCACGTCTTGGCAAGGCAATAAGCTAAGACTTGAGCTAGGAGTGCTCCTCTGTCTAATAGATACGAAAAAGAACATGTCCTCATTTCTTTCACCTGTTTTCATGTGTTCCCTCATTCCCTTTCTTCTGTGTTTGTGATTTTACTTCATTGGTTCATATTGGGTTCCCAGGACTTTCTGCAGCTTTCATGTGCTTCGCGGCGCGTCTTCCAATACAAAAGAGTCGTTCACCCTACTAGCGATGGCCTCCAACCTACTAAGTTACTAGCGATGGCCTCCAATCTAAGAGCGAGGAGATGTTGAGGATCCACACTCCACCACCACGGGGATGTTGAACTTGTCCTGGAACTCATCCCAGACTTCTGGCCTGGAAGGCGGATCCAGGCTGTCTGCGTGATACAAACAAAAAGCGTTTGATCCAATCTGGGTTTGATCCTTTCTTTTGAGCATCTTACAGTCCTTAGGTCTTCGCATTTGCTAAAGTTCGCGCTCAGCGGCGCCCGCCTGAGACCATTTCCGATAGCTCCCCGAAGTCTGTGTCGAATGTGACAAACTTCTGGATGCTCCCTGGCAGAGGTGCGTTCTTGCGAAGATAGCAAGCAGCAAGGAGCGATGCACTGCGGACTAAAGACCTTTTAGAAGTCTTGTTCAAGGGAACTTCTAGGTTGGAGGCCATCGCTAGTAGGTTGGACACCATCGCTATCACTATTAGGTTGGAGGCCATCGCTCTTAGGGTGGAGGCCACCGCTAGTAGGTGGAGGCCATCGCTATTAGGTTGGACAAGGTTAGAGCCGGATTCGGAAACTAATCGGTCCCATTCTGAAACTGGGGTTCTGAAACTAGGGTTCTGAAACTTGGCTTCTGAAACTAGTATTTTGAAACTGGGGTTCTGACACTAGGATTCTGAAACTGGGGTTCTGAAACTAGGATTCTGAAACTGGGATTCTGAAACTTGTATTCTGAAACTGGAAAGTCAGATTCTGCAACTGGTATTCTGAAACTGGAAGTCAGATTCTGCAACTTCCCTTCTGAAACTTGCAACTGGAGATCTCCACATCATGCAATAGCGTGTGTGCCTCTGACATCACCTTCGAAGCACATCCAAACCAACGTCATTAGACCCCCACCCAAATCGTGTGATCTTGACATCACGCCAACCCCCGCATCATGCGGAATCCTAGTGAGGGAATCCACAATGTTGCGGAATCCTAGTTGCGGAACGCCAGTTGCGGAATCCGACCAAACAGTTACGGAATCCTAGTTGTGGAATCCTGCGCAGTTGCGGAACTCGACTTTATCCGGTTGGACAACATCGCTATCACTATTAGGGTGGAGGCCATCGCTATTAGGTTGG